TACTGCTTTAAAAGGGAGTAGGTTTTTTTTTCCTTTTTTAGTGCTGAATATCAAACCAACAGCCATGAGCATGCCACACAAGCACTCTACTACTGAACTTCACCCTGTCCCAGAATTTTTTTTTTCCAGTTATGGGGCTTGAACTCTGGGCCTGGGTGCTGTCCCTCAGCTCTTCAGCTCAAGGCTAGTGCTCTATCACTTGAGCCACAATGCCACTTCCAGTTTTCTGGTGGTTTATTGGAGATAAGAGTCTCATGGACTTTCCTGCCCGGGCTGGCTTTGAACTGCAATCCTCAGATCTCAGCCTCCTGAGTAGCTAGGATTACAGGCATGACCCACTGGTGCCCAGCTCCCAGAAAATAATTTTAAGAAATCATTTGTAGGGTGACACTGTCCAAAAAGAAATATAACCATTACCTAACTTATGTAACTGTAACCCCTCTGTACCTCACCTGATAATAACAGTGCAAATAAAAAAAACTTAAGCCATTTGTATCCAGGTGCTGGTAGCTTATGCCTGTAATCTTAGCTACTCTAAGGGTTAGGTTATGAGGGTTATAGTTCCAAGTTAGCTCAGTAGAAAAGTCCTTGAGACTTTTATTTCTAACTAATCACCTAAAAGCTGGAAGTGGAGTTATGGCTCAAGTGGTAGAGCACTAGCATTGAGCAAAAATAAATAGCTCTAAGATAGGGACCAGCCTGAGTTCAAGCCTCAGTACTAGCACACACAAAAAAATGTTATTTCAAAATATCTTCCTTTAATTAAAAATAGAAAAATTATTCATGTAGAATTAATTGAACATCAGCTCAGTTTAAAACTTTGTTTCCTTCAAAGATTGTTTTCATGATTACTGATTTATACCTAACTGGAAGTTAATTTTTCAGTGCTGATTTGCTCTTTCCTGGTCTGCTCTTTTTTGTTTGTTTGGTTTTGTGACGGGGGGGCAAGGATTTGTTACAGTACTGCCTACATGTGCTGTATTTCACAAAGATAAAAACACTAGATGTCTAGGTTTGTGAAATTATTATGGTATTCCTGAATATATGCCTTAAAAGAAGTGTGAACAAAAGTTACCTCAGATACAGAAGGCATAACAGAACTTGCTGACTGGGGAAAGATAGTCTGGACATTGGACCCAGTTTCTTATAGTCTGATAATTTTCAACTCTTCTTTCAGTATAATAACCACAGATTTTGGAATCACCTGAAAAAGAAAGTAATTTTGTTTCCTTAATGAACTGTGGCTTATTTCCTTATATGTCCTTCCAATGGTCTAAGAAAGCAGTTTCCAGGGCTGGAGATTTAGCTTAGTGCTAGAGTGCTTGTTCAGTGTCCTGGGTTCAATCCCCAGCACCATAAATAAATAAAATAAGTATTTTTTAAAAAAGGAATGTAGTTTCTAGGAAACTTAAAATAGGAAAATTATCAAATTAGTGGTCAACATGTGGTCCTTTTTTTTTAAAGTAATCCTTCATGAGAAGGATATTTAACAGAGAAAAAAACTTTAGTTTAAGTCTTTACAGCAAATAAAATGTGCAAGAATGTGTAATAAAAGTAAAATGTGTAAGAAATGTGCATTTGTACTGTGAACATGTGTCTTGGTGTTAGCTGGGTGCTGTTGACTCACATCTGTAATCCTAAGTACTCAGGAGGCTGAGATCTGAGAGGATTGTGGTCAGAAGCCAACTGGGGCATAAAAGTCTTTGTGTCAAAAAGTTAGTAGTAGAGGTATGGTGAAGCATCAGCCTTGAGCACAAAATCCAAGCCATGTGGGGAGGTCTTGAGCTCAGACCCCAAAACTGACACACATACACACAAAGGAAAAAAGCAAGTAACTTAATAATATTAATCCTAGTCAACATTGTGTGTGTGTGTGTATATGTGTGTGTGTGTGATCATTGTTGGTTTTGTCTAAATGAATAAAATATTTAGGCCATAAAATGTTATTAAATGAACAACATCATTTCATAGAATGTGTAGACAAAAATTAGTATTCTGTCTGACTTTATGATTATATATATTTCCATGTGTTTGTCTTTATGTCAGAAAGCACGGTTGTCTTAGTAGTGAGCCAGTGGTTGTTCTGAAAATGATTATATGGCAATCACCACAAAAGCCTTTTCAGACGCAAGGTGAACACCCTGCATCCTTATACTCTATGCTGAAAACCACTGGCTTCAAGAACATCTAAAAGAAGGGGAAGAAAAAAAGATGGTATATTAAAAAATATTGGATCTTGTTAGGTTTTTAAAAAGAGGTAGCCGAGTAAGAACTGCACCACGCACATGGTATTCAGATAAGGGGTAGGTTTATTCAGTAGACCTGCTGGGACCAGGCAAGGTTGGCACTCCACACAGCTGGGAAAGGCCTAGGAAAGATAGAGAGCTGGAAAAGAGAGAGAGGAAAGAGAGAAAAGAGCTTGAGACGAGCTAGACAAGAGCAGAGAGAGGGCCTCTGAGCCTGGGCTAGGCCTTATCTAGGGTATGGGCGGAGAAAGGTGTGGCCACATCAAATTCAGATGTGACCTCAGCGGATGCAGATGTGTCTTCTTCCAGGTGTCCCAGTTGCCTAGGTAACGCAGGTACTGGGTGGAGACTTTACTGCGAGGAGGGTGAAGTCTGCTGGCCATCCAGGAGCGGACCTTACAGAACTTTAAAAACATGTTTGTATTTTCATTAAACTATTGTCACTAAAAGAAGGTTAAGGTATATCATGAGGAAGAATGAACAATATTCCTGGATATTCTTACTATTTAATTAGTGAATATTTTATAATACTAAGACATGTTTATGCAAACAAGTTTAAACTCAGTCAGCCTAATTTCTTAGTATTTTTCTTCAAAAATGGCTTGACTTAAAGCCCTGACTATAAATTAGCCTGCAGTATAAAATAACTGAATGACTATAAGTAAGCATTGACCAGATTGCTATGTTTTTAAACTTCTTTTGTGAAAATAGATTTGTCTGTGGTACTTCCAGTGTGTAGTCGCTGCAGTCCGGTAGTTTTTGTATGAAATATTTTGAAGTATAGGAGTTGAAAGAGTATTATACGTCATTCTGTGTGCGTGTTTTTTAATGAAATCTAATATCTTACATAGTTAGAAAAGATTTAAATAAGGTCTTTACTGCTTCCACGCAAGGCAACCTTTCATTTAGCATAGCTGGTATAGATTATAGGTTATAACCTTCTTTTTCTTCATTCTTTTTGTTTTGGTCTGAGATGGGACTCAAACTTAGTACCGGATGCTTTTGGTCATTGGTTGGTACTTTGTCAACTGAGCCTCACCTCCAAACCCTAGGTTAAAACCTTAACGATACTGAACTTTCTACTACACTGTCACCAATATCTAATAAATACTTGTATTTGGACATTATTCTCTTGTCTTTTTCTCTTACTTTATGCTTACTATTGGTGCCAAATATTCCCAAATTAACAAATGAAAATGAATGTGCTCTATCAAAATTTTATCTTGGAGCCGGGCACCAGTGGCTCACACCTGTAATCCTAGCTACTCAGGAGGCTGAGATCTGAGGATCGCAATTCAAAGCCAGCCCAGACAGGAAAGTCCGAGAGATTCTTATCTCCAATAAAAACCACCAGAAAATCAGAAGTGGCGCTATGGCTCAAGTGGTAGAGCACTAGCCTTGAGCTGAAGAGCTGAGGGACAGCGCCCAGGCCCAGAGTTCAAGCCCCACGAACAACCCCCCCCAAAAAAAAAATTATCTTGGAGTAACGGCTTGATCACATGAATTCCCATAGCAAGTGTTTTATGATACAATTTAGATTTTTTTTAAGTGAGTTATTGGGGCCAGAGGCTCTCCCTCTTTTCCCCCAAAACAGGCTATTGACTAAGGAAAATATTGAGAGAGCCATGAGCTGGCCTTACTTCATTAATATTTATCTATTTACTTACTTTTCAGCTGTTACTGGAACTTGAACTCAGGGCTTTTCATTCTTGGCTTTTTGGCTCAACATTGCCACTCTGCAAGCTGTACCTACTTCTAACCCTTTTCTGGTTAATTGGAGTTAATCACCTCATGGACTTTTCTCTCTGGGCTAACTTCAAAATCTTCGTATCTCAGCCTCTTGAGTAGCTAGGATTTGCAGGTGTGAGTCACCAGTGCCATGCTTGGCCCCACTTTTAGTGATTACTAATAAAGCTAATGTGAGAGAAAGGAATTTTTGAACTTCTTGAAATGTACGGGGTGACGACAGTCTTTGTCTTGTCAATCTATTATACTGTGTGTGTATATATATATATATATACTCGTGTACTAGGATTTGAACTCAGAGCCTCACGCTTGTTAGGCAGGCATTCTACCACTGAGCCAGGTTCTCAGCCCTTTAGTTTTTTGACATAGATCTTGATTTTTGCCCAGGCTTGTACCTAGAATGCTGTCCACCTATTTTACACTTATCCTAGCTGAGACAAGAGGTACACCATTATTCCCAGTTTCTAATGGTGAGATGGAGTTTTGCGAACTTTTTGTCTGGGTAGGCCTGGAACCTGTGATCTTCCTGATCTTAGCTTTCCATGTTGCTATAACTAGGATAATAGGTACAACATCCAGCTATTGGGAAGTCTTGTGAACTTTGTTCCTGGACTAGCCTTGAATGGTTTAATTTACTTTTTTTGTTGTTCAAAGAGAACTTTATTATATATTGTTAAACCAGACATTAGAATATTATTGTTTAGGAGTATTAACCTTTTTTTTTTTTTGGCCAGTCCTGGGGCTTGAACTCTAGGCCCTGGCACTGTCCCTGAGCTTCTTTTGCTCAAGGCTAGCACTCTACCACTTGAGCCAAAGCACGACTTTCAGCTTTTTCTGTTTCTATGGTGCTGAGGAATTGAACCCAGGGCTTCATGCATGCTAGGCAAGCACTCTACCACTAAGCCACAGTCCCAGCCATAGGAATATTAACTATTGAGATGTTTTTATTTGAACAATTTTTGTGACGTTTTAGCAAGTATTTATGGTGGGATTTTTTTTAACTGACAGGTGCATTCCTTGTAAAGGGTCTCGATTTCCTCCTACCCTTCCACGCCCTGCTGTTGCCATATTATCCTTTAAACTTCCATACTGTCAGATTGCAACAGAAAAAGGACAAATGGAGGTATGTAGAAATCTTGGCTTGCTATCTGAATTTGGATGACAATGTACCATAGACATTTTCAACTTATTGTGATGACTGTTTATTTATGGTGAGATGAAAAGGGGAGGACTGCTTACAGTCACCAGGCCACTTGGTTGCCTTCAAGATGGTTATGACTGAAGGACATACTATGACAAGGACTTTCTTCTCCTGGTCCAGCAAGTCCTTCATACATATTGTGCTATAAATGCCTGGCTTACCTCACCCCTAGCCGTCACCCTTTGTTAATCATATCATTTGAAATCTTGCAGTTATTCTAAATCAGGAGGAAATTATATTCTATAAAACTAGTTTACCAAATTGTCTGAGCATTAGTTGTGATAGCTAGGAAACTTAAAACATTATGTTTATATACACACAAAATTTTTTTTTGGGGGGGAGGGTCCGGTTGTGGGGCCTGAACTCTGGACCTGGGCACTGTCCCTCAGCTCTTCAGCTCAAGGCTACAGCGCCACTTCCGGCTTTTTTCTTTTTGCTTATATGGTGCTGAGGAATTGAGTCCAGGGCCTCAGGCTTGCAAGGCAAGCGCTCTACCACTGAGCCACCTTCCCAGCCCACACACAAATTTTTTTAAGGATTGAAGATAAAGCTGTAAAAGCACACTGGAATTTGAATTATAAAATAAATGTATAGAAAGGAGGATTTCAGAAAATACTTATTCAAAACTGATATCTTAAGGTAAATGCCCAACACTTTGCTGATGGTAATGTTTATCTCTAATTTTATCCACTTTTGTAGGAACAATTTTGGCGTTCAGTTATATTCCACAATCATCTTGATTACTTAGCTAAAAATGGTTATGAATATGAAGA